TTTGTGGTTTTACATGCTAACTTTCTGTTTTTACAAACAGGTTATTCCCTCTAAGTACCATGTGAAAAGCCATGATTAACACAGGGAAAATTAATTTACTTCATAATTGAAAGTGCTGTCAAATAAAATGTGCCATAATAGAGGAAAAACTATTTACTTCTCATTTTTAGTAACCTTAGATATTAATATGATGTAAATCAAACTAAGAAAGTGGTCTTTGTTGTAGTTGTTGCTATTATTGTTCTTTTAAACTACATGATGTCCCTCCGACAGAACTGTTTAAATTTTTCTGTGAAATTTCACCCTTTGCCCTTGCCACAGATTTGCAACGCATGTGATGCCCTGTTTCTACAGGGATTTATTTTCATGTATCAGTATCCCCTCTGTTTTTACAGGTGGACAAAAAAATACATTTCCTTGACAGGGTTATTTTTGACCTACACTAACAAAACTGGTAAAAAGAAAAGTGGAAATTCAGCAGTTGCAAGTTAGTTTTATTTGTAGAAATGTAATTGAGCAATCAAGACAGATTTCTATCTGTTAGAAGTTTTCAAGTGAGCTTTCAGTAAAGGGCTTAGGCAGCTTTGCATTGCTACCAAGAAGGCTGAACTTTTCTCTTTTTGGCACTACTCAAGTAATGGAAAATTGGTAATTCAGAGTAACTTCCTGCGTGCAAGAATTGCATCCCATTAAGTCTCTTATCAGGTTACTTCATGTAGAATGTGAGTTGTGTTTTCTGGAGAAGCATTTCTAATTCCAGAGCAGGTCAGACTGTAATTGCAAGTTTAGTAGAGAACTTTTCAGTTAAAAAGGAGTGGTTACTGGCTAATACACTTACACACAATCAAGACTAGCTAGGACCTGTGTCTTGGGGACAAGCATATTTCTCTCAGCAATTCTTGTGTATCATTTCTTGACCTCTCCTCTTAGAAATCATAGACTTGCAGATAATCCCAGCAGAGTAATGCATGTTGATTTTCTCTTTGAGAAATACTGAACTGACACACTTAAAGGCAGCTAGCGTACATCCAGAATACTTCCTTAAAATTGAAATGCAAATCTGGGAAAAATGGTAATTTCAGCTTCCTCTGTTTGGGATTATTTCCTAAAAAAATGTCTCTAATAACATAAACCCCAAATTCTCTATGTGATCTGGTTTTGGTGCATTCTGTTGCAGCTTCTTGGCTTCAACATGATCCAAATTCCAATATTATATCTGATTCTCTTTCTGCTTCATTTTCATAATACACCTGGAGTCCTCTGTATTTATTTGAACTGTAAGCCAGTATTCCTTATGCCTAATGAATGTTGGCAGACTGGATATTATTAGTTTCCTCCATGCATTGTATTAGAGGATGGGGTATTGCAGATGCTTACCTACTCGATACGAAAGTGTACCCTGCTGAACAATAGTTGGTTTACTCTCAACATAAAGCGATAAGACCAAAGTGTTGGAAAGCTTGGTATTTGTAACATGCATTAAAAAAAATTTGTATGTTTTTGGACTTCTGTATTTATACCAACTGCCCTTTTTTGATTGACTTTTTTGCCAGTATCTGTGTATATTTTCAAAATGCATGTTTTTACATTTTTATTTTCAATCCATTCTTTCAGTCAGTGATATGTGGTTGGAATGCTTTCTAACATGCCTTTCTTTTATAAGCAAAATTAGCCTCCCAGGATCTGTGCCATCTCAAACGTTTTGAAAATTTCCAACTATAGTTGAAAGATAATAGATAATTTGTGACTAACAATTTCTGTTGAAAAATCTAATATTTTGCAAAAAATCTCTGGGTTTGAACATTTTAGTGAAATTGGGGGGGGGGAGAACAGGGTTAAGAATCTTTTGAAATTAATTTTAATTGTGGTTTAGGTTGCATTTGCAGTTTAATAGTGAGCATTATGACCTTGATACAGCAATCTTATACTGAAGAGATTGGTGTGTGGGCTAAATGCCTCAGCATATTATTATTTTTTTAATAAACTGCCTTTGTAATAGCTATTAGCCTCAGAGAAGTATTTTGCATTTGGAAATGTTTGGATGCTTTGGAA